TAAAAAAAAAAAAAATAAAAAATAAAAGCATGCCCAGGGTGCAATGAGAGTTAATATCAAAGCAATTGATATGCAAAGAGAAAATAAAGAAAAATAGAAAAGAAAAGAGAAAATCACTGCAGACAAGGCTAATGGTAGTTGAACGAGGGAACGAGGCTTGAGGTAGTTTGCTTGCCTGTGGATTGTTTGCTTGCTGGTGGATAATTTGAGAACCAAGGAAATGGCGCAATATGATTGGCTGACAAAGGTAATATACAGAGGTGTGGTAGGCAGGCCTATTCAGTCTACTTCTGCTGTGAATACCCTGAAGATGCCTTGGAACACACGCACTTCATCTGCTGCCGCTGCTGCCTCTCCCAACGACCCTCAGCCTTCCACCTCGGCTGTCCCCTTGCACTTTTTCGACGACTCGTCGGACGATGAATCCGGCGAGAGGTTCGTGCCGAGGGGTCGGGTACGTATCGAGAGTAGCAGCAACAGCGAACTCAGTAGCAACAGCAAACTCAGTAGCGACAGCGGCGATGATTCCGAATTAGATTTCGTGTCTCACGACACGACTCTAGATTCGGATGAGCCGCTGTCTGCTTACGCCCAGCGGTTGCGGGAGCGGAATTGTCCTGGGTTCCGGTGGAGGAAGAAGGAGAATGTTCCCAAGAGGTTTGATTTCAGGGCCCAGGCTGGGGTCAACACCCCGGGGTGGACTCTGATTCCAGTCCGTTGGAATTATTCACCTTGTTCTTTACCGACGAACTCATGAATGTGATCGTCCGTGAGACAAACCGGTAAGTTCACGTAATTTTTTGTTTCATTTACATATTTTTGTCAAATTGAATATATATATATATATATATATATATATATATATATATATATATATATATATTATATATATATTATATATATATATATATTATGTGAATATATAATGATTAGATTGTGTACAATGGCTAATTTTTGTATTTCTATCTTTCCAGGTACCACCGTCAAAAACCAGCACCCAGGTCTTCTCATATAACGGACTGGGTAGACACCTCTGCCTCAGAACTTAGGATCTTCATCGACCTCAGAATGGCCATGAGGTTGAATCCTAAGCCCGAGCAGAGGAGTTACTGGTTGACCGATCTATTCAACCTCAGTCCCTTGTTCCCAGTGACTATGACGCAGGATTGTTTTGATCAGCTGAGGCGCTCCCTCCACATGGTGGACAACGAGGGGAGTCATCCTCCCGATGACCGCCTGTGGAAGTTGCGGCCAGTTATCGAAACTCTCCAGCGTCGGTTCTCGTCGGTCTATACTCCTCCCAGGAAGATTACGGTCGACGAGTTTCTCTGGAAATTTCGGGGGCGCCTTGTAGCCGTGACCTTCAACCCCAGCAAGTGCTCACGCTTCAGGGTAAAGGTTTTTAAGCTCACTGTCAATGAAGGCCAGCAAGGCTACATATGCGCCTTCGAAACTTACACGGGCAAGGACAGAGGCGACATACCCGCATCTCAGAGGGCTGTCATCCACTTGATGGGCACAGCGGGCTTATTTGAAAAAGGGTATGACTTATATACCGATAATTGGTATACGTCCCCTACCCTTTTTCATTGCCTGCAGAGCAGGGGCATGAACGCGGTTGGCACAGTGCGTGCCACCCGCAAATTCATGCCTACTGATCTGCAGGTAAAAGCCCGCGGAGATGTGGACAGTCACAGCACGCCTACAGTCATGTTGTGCCTGCAATGGCGCGACAGGCGTGAAGTGACGTTGCTGTCGACTATCCACAAAAGCGAGATGGTCGCCACCGGGTCCCGCACAGGGTTTGAGAGGATCAAACCCCAAGTAGTTGCAGACTACAACTGTGGGATGAAGGGGGTCGATACCAGTGATCAGCTGGCTATATTGTACCCGAGCACTCGCAAGTCCCTCAAATGTAAAAGGTTTTGTTCAATCTTCTTGATATGGCAGTCGTCAACACCTTCTCATTGCACAAGGTGCTCGGAGGGCGATTGACTCAGCTGATCTTCAGGAAGAAGCTTGCAGAAGATCTCATGCAGCTGGGGTGTCACCGTGGTAGAGAGGTCAGGTCACGGTCCCGCTCCTGCTCTCCGCCCCCAGCTCGGGCTCTTCAGGGTATTCAGTGACAGATTTAAACACCTCACGGCAGATACCGAAGGTGCAGACTTTGCTACACTCATGGCGTGAGGAGGATGATCAAGATGATGTGTTCAGGGTGTGATGTTCCTCTCTGTCGGACTTCCTGCTTTGAGGAATATCACACTCTGAACGCATCTATGTCTAGGTGATCCTCCTCATGCCATGACCTTGTAAATATTGTAAATAATTTACTTTCGTAAATAAAATATGAAACGTAAAACAAAACTTTCTATATCCTCATATACCACACTATTTCTTTACACACTAATATGAAATGAATACTGAAGAAAATAATCTTGATATAACATAAAATATTGAAACTTACTTTGAAAAGAATGAAGAAAAGAAAGATGGAAAAAGAAAAGAAAAAGAAAGAAAGCTTCTTTACAGAGCTTGATCCAATGATATTGAACAAATAAGACTCCCAAAAATAACTTACAACAGGAATAAAAAAATAAAATTATATGTGTATTACGTATATGTGATCACGTACTTATAAAACTACACTGAAAAGAGAAATTGAAAGCTATATCTTGCTCATGAAGTAATATTATAGACCTCGTGTGAAAACTAGGATAGTTGATATAACCTAAAAAAATTAATAACGAAAAAAAAAAAACTATGGTTATAAACACGATCATACATCAAACTGCTTACTTTATTCAGAGTAAAGACGAATAATTATCAATTGTGGAGTCCATACTACGAAAAAAACTGTCATACATACTTGACTTCTAAGAAAATATAGCAAACATATACCTTAGAAAATAATAATTATAAAAAATAAAATAAAAATAATTTCTTAGTGATACAAAGAAATGGCAAGGAATCCTGGTATTGCGCGTGAGCGGACGCGCGCCATAGGGTAATGGCACAGGTCCCTGGCAGCGAGGCCCAGGCCGCTGTGAATACTGCCTGGGGAAAGGGTCTTGTGTATCGGAAAATGTTCTGTCGGCAATGGGTTAAGACAATGCACCACGTATAGCCTCTTTATATTAAGGACACAATTTTGAAAGTGAGTGAGAAAAGGAATGATGACATGGATTTAGTTGCTGCAGAGGCATGGTACTAACCAAAATGTATGAAGAAGTTTTACAAGCCATCATGTAGAAAAAACATTGTCATCCCAAAAGTATGTTTCAGAAGCATACATACACATACATATGTGTGTGTATTTGTGTATTTGCATGCCATGCCAGTGCAGAGGAACATACCTGTTTCGCTCAAAATCTGACTTCTCCACTGAACGTCTTTCTCTTTCCCTTTCCCTTTCTCTCTCTCTCTCTCTCTTTCCCTCTCCCTTTCTCTTTCCCTCTCTCTGGCTGATTGCGATTGGGGCTCATCATCTGAGGATGGAGGTGGAGGCTTGGTTGGGGGAGGGGGTCTTTTCTTTGCTTCTTTAGCTTCTTCTTCTCTCTTGGCTTCTTCTTCCAACTGAGCACCGACTTCCTCCACACGCTTTTTGCACTCTTCTCCTGAAGAGTAAAGACTATGTTCAAACATCTGTTTACATCTTCAATATCATATTCAATTAATAAAAATACAAATAAAACTTGTCATATGATTCCAACCTCCATTTTAACTGCTCTGTAACCTTAAAACTCACCAAAGGGATCAAGAAATACTTGGAGAACCTTGCCCATGAGAGTGGAATTGTTGAGCTTTTTGACACAGATGCGAGCACCTTCTGGGTTTTCAAAGATAAGTCTGGCAACACCCAAGTGCTTTCGTGATAACTCATGATTGAAAATTTCTAATTCTTCTATGGAACCACATTGATGTTTGTTTACCTGCAAAATTGAGAAAGGATAAACTAAGAGCTGGAAAATAGGGATGCATCCTTCATACATCTTCATTTCAAAAATAATGTAAAATATCAAATCTTACAATTCTATTGCATGCAAACAAAAACAGCCATGTCAATACTTACAATTTCATTATGCAGAAACTGCCGATCAATATTGTCATTAATATTGAAGATTGTAACTTCTAAAGGTGGTGGCGGGCCTACATAATCCGAGTCAATCTGAACAGACAAAAAAATTGAACTTAGTATTCTAAGTATCAAGACATTTGTGCAATGACAAACAAATTAAAGGAAACAGAGTGACTTTTATAAACAAAGCTTTCTACTGTTTTGATTTATCATCATTTTTTTTAGAGAGTTAAGATAAAGTCATATAACAATTAAACTGAATCTATATATAGTATTCAATATAAAAATATGGTTACAAAAAACAGGAAAAAAACAGGAAAAAAAGGGGGGGGGGGCATATTCGCATGAAATGCATACATGTACACTTTTCATCTTTCTCAGATAATTTGGACTGCCCAGCTTTTCTTTTGAGTTTTTAAAAGTAGATTTCCCCTTACAGCTTACCCAAGAAATCAAACATAACATATAAAGCCTTGCCTAGTAGGCTCAGCACAGTCATTTAAGATGGATGTGCCACATCCTTCCACCTCAGCCACCCAACAAACTTACAAGAAGTGCAATTCAACCACTTGGTGATGAATGGCATAGATATTATTCCCATGGCATAGCTAAACTTATTAGCAGGTGGCATGTACCTCCATACTATGCACAGTCAAGCCTTCTGCAAGCTGTGTTTGGTAAACAACTGTTCCCTTTTCTGGCCATTCCTGCTATTAATGCATTACGGCCCCTGCAAATTAGGCTTACTGTTTTTAACCTCACTTATTGAAATATGTATATATTGCAACCAAAAACCTAGAGTTGGAAAAATACAGGAAACCCTCGTTGGTACCAAGGTAATGACTCAAAATATTGAGCTCTACAGTTGGACAACTTGAGATGAAAATCTAAATAATTGTTTAGTTGAATTGTGTATGAAGTTTGTGAAACTTTATTGTTTTGGGGGAGAACCAAAGCATACCCTTCTCTCTGTGATCAATATCTATTTTGTGTTTTCAACAGTTTGCCTACTCCCAACAGTTGGCTATATCCATCATATCTCATGAAAGAAAGATTTACCTTTTTCATCATTTTGACAACAGCTGTTAGTATCTCTCTCTCTCTCTCTCTCTCTCTCTCTCTCTCTCTCTCTCTCTCTCTCTCTCTCTCTCTCTCTCTCTCTCTCTCTTATATATATATATATATTTATGTTGTGTGTGTGTTGTGTGTGTGTGTGTGTATTGTGATGTGTGTGTGTGTGTGTGTGTGTGTATGTGGTGTGTGTGGTGTGTGTGTGTGTGTGTGTTGTGTGTGTGTTGTGTGTGTGTGTGTGTGTGTGTGTGTGTGTGTGTGTGTGTGTGTGTGTGTGTGTGTGTGTGTGTGTGTGGTGTGTGCGCTCGCGTGTGCGTGTATGTATGTATGTATGTATGTATATATATTATATATATATATATATATATATATATATATATATATATATATATATATTTCATTGATACTTTTTTAAAAGGTTGGGGAGGGCCACAAAAACCCTATGTGCACTTCAGCGTTAAAAACTAGTGCACTTACATAACAGCATTTAATCAATATATTTAAACTCTGAAGTTTATTACATAACTGGATATTCATTAGAAAAAATATCAAGCACAATCATAGTGGATTTGAACTATACTGTTACCTTAAATCTTGGGACAGCAATGTCCATAGTCTCTGGGCGAATCCATATTTTTGGTTTTCGTGGGTCACGCAATACAACTGGAGGATATGTTGGATCTCCTTCCACAACACCCTCAAATCTGTTGAAAAGGGATATGATTTAGATTCTGAAATAAGGATAACAACTATCAACTTATTGGTGCTGAATAATTGCACTGTCCACAGTTGTTTTCTTTTGTAAATTTTGTTCACAAATAGATGGCTCCACAAGTGCTCAGTCACAAAGGAGTAAATTATTAGATCAACCTGACCTCACCTGATTTCCCCTTTCTTTAACTTTTCAGTTAAAAAAAGTTCTTATTCTAATGTAAATCATATAAATATTGATTTTTATCATAGCCATTATAGTGTCATCAACAATAATAGCAATATATATATTTTTTAATCTTTCTAAAAATCAGGGAAATGGGTAGACAGGTGTAATAGGTAGGATTAGTAACAGATCTCTTATTGACTAAGCACCTGTGGAGCCATCTATGTTTAAACACAATTTATTAACTAAAAATAAATACAGTTCGTTGACTAAAAGTTGATATAGCACATATAAATAGCTAGATTAATACAATTAACCCCCAGCTAACACTTGGGGTGTCCTCAGCACAATACTGAGACAGCCCTAGTATAAATCATTAGGCTCGGGGCATGCCCGTCGCGCATAGCTACCAGTCGTGATGCGTCTGGTAATCGGGGCTTCGTGTAGATGCCCAATGGCAGCAGCGGGTGCGCTCCTGCGGGGCTGGCGGGCTGGCAGAAGAGAGTCCAGGGTTGCAGACTCGCAGCCCGGCTGATACGTAATTGTAGCCACCGCAGCGCGGTAATAGTTTATTTGTCGGCTTCAATAATAACTCGCGCGAGGGCGTTAATAGGGTTTACTTGTAACTAAAGAAGAGGCACCAGTGGACTAAGTACTATGTTATTTTTATTCCAGGACCACCCGAAGCATCAGATGGGAAGTGTAAATGAAACGGGTCTCGTAAGACAGAGGTTGTCCGAAGATTATGACAGCGCCTTGGGGAATTGTCACATTTACAAGTCGTCATGAGTATTCCACATATTCTTGCAACAAATACTGAAGATTAGAGCTTAAGTGTGGTTGTGTAGCTAGAGTTTGGTAACTTAAGGCGGGGCATGACAATACTTGGAAGGGAGGAGGGGGCGGCGAGCGATGTAGTGGTCGTAGAGTAGGTGATCTAAAGACATACAATACGTGTTGTTGGAGACGATGTTGCCGAGTGGCACTCGAGAGCGATGATTGTGGAATGACTTCAGTGATGTGAGACCTGTCGCAGAGGTACTGACGTGAGGGCACAACCGAGATATTAAGGCTCGCGGAGCAAGAGTGAGAGGTGATTGGAGTGATGGGCTTCGTGTGAGTTCGGGGGACCGTGATGTGCCCCTGGCTTTGATGTGTTGTGAGCGGCTCTGCGTGGTCTGGCGGGTACGGCGCTTCAGCATGTAGAGAGTTGAAGTGGGGGCGGTTATAGAAGCAGGTAGTCTGAATGCCATGGTCGAACTCGCCATCGATGGGACTGAGGCTGTGCGAGAGTAAGAGTAGGTCGGTCGGTCTATG